TTATTGCATTACCGGGGGAGAAAAAAGGCTTCTGTTCACGGCACAGATATTGAAGTACGCGACTAGCCAAGTTTGTGACGTTAGAGATCGGAACAAACCATGTAAATATAATGCTTAAGTTAACATCGTTATTTCTATGATGAAATAGCTCTTATTTTCAAGCCACCATTCAGTGAAAATAATTATTAACGACTATTAAAACTTACAATGGATGTTTTTTCACGTTTAGAGACATGAGCACCTTGCTGCTCCAGGATTTTAACGGAGAAAGGTCAGACTGTGAGGTGAGGGTGATTGATTGACTGATATGCGAGGTTTGACGTCCCGAAAAAAAACATATGGTTATGAGAGACACCGTAGTGGAGGGCTCCATAGATTCTGACCAGGGGTTCTTTAACGTGCACCCAAATTTGAGCACACATGCCTACATAATTTTCACCCTATCGAAAATGCAACCGCCACAGCCATAATTCCATTCCACTACCTGCGGGAGGTGAGGAAGTCTGCGTTGTTAAGTATAGGACGATAATTTACACAGTCATCAGCAAACAAAAGGATTTTCGAAGTACAACAGTTAGGTAAATCATTCATGTATATTAGAAAAAATCAACAGTCCCAAGGCAGTTGACTGCGGCATGCCTTGTGGCACGCTGCACTCAACAAGGGATAAAGAATAGTGTTGGTTAGCTTATAAATCTTCCTAACGGTTAGACTAAAAAAATACAGAATCAATTGTTACCGAAGGATGGAGATATAATCGGGATAGTCTTAGAAAGTTTAGAAAAAGACCTTCATGAGGAACCTTGTCAAACGCCGTTTCAAAGTCTAGGAAAGAGAGATCAATGGGTTATATTTCTATCAGTGTAACAGAATATTTCATGGACGAAAAGGGCGAGTTCAGTCTCGCAAGGCACGCCCTTTTCAGAAGCATGTTGATTATGATTGAAAAAAATTACAGGATGCTAGAAACTTTACCACCTGAGAGTAAAAGATGTGATCCACAAGTTTGGAACAGACACCGGTAAGTGAAGTTTGATGATGTTTACTACATGAAGACGATGAACCTTTTTTTTTTTTGTACTGCAATTACCTTGTCTACGTTCCAGTCTTGAGGCACCTCTCAAAATGACAGCGATTTCTTAAAGATACAACATATAAGAGCGTACTGGTTACGTGTTCAGTGTTGTTTAGGAATTTCGAGTAGAAGTCAGTGAAGGACTCTAACATAAGCGTGTCATTTTGTTCATCACTAACATTTGCTTGAACCATCATATCGGACACTGGTGAGTGAGGTAAGAGCATTCAGGAAGCTGTGTGCAGGGCTCAGTAGTGAGTATAGCTAAAAAACAGTGTTTAGTACATGAGCTACGTTATTGTCGAGTATACGCTCGTTATGTATGAATGTCATTTAACGAAAACCGTTTTGTTTAACTCGGGTGATAATGCCTAGCATAAGCATAGTAACACGCCCGGTCTTGGGCTAGTTGGTATGGCATGACGATAGTGTCCTTTGTGTCGTTCTTGTCTCTGTGTCGTCGTTTTGTTCTCGCGCTATAACTATCGTCGTGTGAATTACGCAACGATTGGGTGTTCTATATGTGCACCCTTTACAAAGCGCTCCCCTATATTTATTCAACCTCATCTGCAGAAGCATCATCTGCAGAAGGACATGAACCGCACTTGCCGGCTTAAGTTTTCTAAAAATAATAAATGGTCATTTAAATGTTGACGCTGCAGGCATCATTCGGTATTCTTCCTGTTACGTAACTCGCAAGCGACATAGTAAAACGAGAACTGCTTTACGTTCACGGAATAACTGCTACAAGTATTCGTTCTTCCCTAGAACTAATATTGACTGGACTAGCCTGACAAATGATGTCGTTTTACACAGTAAACTGTCATTGTTTGAAAACAGGATCGGCTAAACCATCACAACACATTGCATTGTATTATTTGTTTTATTGTAAATATTGTGTTAGTCTGTAACTCGTATTCTATGTGTTACGTTATTATGTGTTATGTTACTCGAAGCATTTGTTGAAATAAGCGTTTTTTAACCTTCACGTTGTATACACACATTGTAAGATTTATTGCGTTTTCATTATTTCTTTGTACGTACCGATTCTCGAACATTTTTGCCCACCCTGCCATGATCTTTCAACTGAATGATTGTGGTATTTATAAATAAATAAATAAATAAATCAACAAAGAGGTCAGCTGCGTAGGTTCGGGTGTTGCGTTACAGATGCGTAGTGGGCCCATCCTTGGTTCGAAAAGGAAATATTCGTGGTGTAGTAGGCACTTAAAAGCTGTATCTGCAACAGTCATTCAGGTATACTTGGAAACAGCCAATGCTACATGCTACACGCACAAGCAATCCTTTCCGTACACGTTACGGCTGAGCCATGCACCGACAACCGAAGCAAGGCTTACGAATGAGAAAGAGGCACGCACAAAGCCGCATGAAGCTATCGCGTTCTGCTATCAAAGGCAAAGCTCAAGCGTAGTCTAAAGTTTCCACTCAGATGTTAGGCGAGTCATGAGAGCCGTTGTTGCTCTTATCTTCTGAATATGACTGACACCTAATGCACAAGGTTGGAGGTATTGTTGGTGCATTTTTCTATTAATATGTCCAGGTGGCCATTTTGCATTTGCTCAATAAATGAGTTCAATGAAATGATTTGAATCGCTGATTACCAGTAATAAAACAGCTGAAACTTGTAGTGCTTAGCAAAATATTCATTTAGTACCAATGATAAGTTACTCTGGTGCAAAAAAAAATTCCAGGCATGTGTGAATAGCGCTGCACACTCAGTGAAACCTGGAGGAGCAGCATTTCTAGAACAAGTTGTAAACTCTCTTGGGGCTACCAATGTTAGAACGCTTGCAAGGTACCCACACAGCCATAAATCATAATTTTTTTCATGTTGGGAAGAACCCCCTAATATATTTTTTGTCATTCTTCGGTGAAGCGAGGTACCCGCTATGCAGTTTGAAGGAATTATGTGCACTTTATTCATGCGGTGGTTGATGAAAGATTTTCGGTGAGCTCTTTGTGACGAGTTGAAAGCTTTAAATGGCCTACTCGTTACGTATTGTATGTTGTTTGACGCCTGGTTAGGAATTGCCATTGTGTGATGACTGGTTGTTATTGAACTATTTTATCGTGCTATAAGACACCACCTCAACGCACTTCTTTCCCCAACAAAATGGAATGCCATTTTATCATCACGCAGATAACTTTTATTGTATACAGCGGGGAATTACGCAGCACCGGCAAACCAACCATGGGACTCATGCACTTGAAGCTGATACTCCTAACCATGGAGTTTTCTAAAATTTACTAAAAGGAACTCTGGCGCTGTGATCGTTCAGCGACCATGCGAATGATGGGTAGTACACACATTCGTACTTGCGGATGGCGAATCGTACTTGCGGCTTCGTTTATTGCTGGTTACGGTTTTATTTTGAAAGAAAAAACGAACCCCTTTAAACTTTTGTGACTCGATTCAAAATGATAAGCCTTGAAGAAGGGGATTGTGAAGCGCAAACGCTGAATATTTGCTAATTCATTTTTTGTGAAAAAACAGCTCTAAGCGACACACGGAGCCAGAAGCAGGCCGGAAGTACGAAAATTAGACAAATGTGTGTGCTACCCAACATTCCATGCTCGCTGAAGCGCCATGCGTTGCAGCTCCCCTAAACACTAGCGCCATAGTTTCCTCTAGAGTACATTAGAAAACTCTATGACTCTAACCACTACGCCATCATCGCTGCTTACGGTACCCTGCTCACATGTGGCAACGTAAGCCACACAGGGACGCTGTGGGTACGGGATGTATTCGTCATAAAGGAAAACCTTACTGCTCGTATTTGCCGTTCATAAAAAAGGTCAGTCGACATCCACAGCTGCTATTACGCGCTCGATATTCGTTGTATATCATTCGCTCATCTACGAATTCTTCCGACATCCACAGCTGCTATTACGCGCTCTATATTCGTTGTATATCATGCGCTCATCTACGAATTCTTCCGAGCCACAAAACAAAACGTAAAAATATTTAACCCATGCATTGTGGAATCCATGAGTGTGTAAACGCTAGGGCTTCTTGGCCGTGTTCTTGTCAGTTTTTTTCTCGCCCTGTTTTTCGCCGACCGTTGAGCTTTCAGCCTTGTTGTCCTTGTCTTTAGTCTTCACCGAAGGCCGAGAAGCAACACACTTGGTCGACTTGGTACTCGACGCCTGCAACGACGACGCAGATGCTGCGGAGCCCGGCCTTTGTTGTGGTTCTCGAACCACCCGCTGCCTTTCGCGCCGATCGGACGAAGGGCTTGCCTCATGGAGTGGCTCGGAACGTAGCATAGCCCGGGTGAAGCGCGAAAAATCCGAGTATCCCGGTGCGTACGTGCTGGTGTACCCGTAGAACGGCCCCGACATAACCGGCATAAGGGCCCCCTTGGTAGGGCGCCATCTGTGGCCAGTAGAAGTCTAGTGGGTGGTACGCCGCGAGGACGTTGTAAGGGTCGTAGGGCGGGACTTCGTACTGACTCGGAAGGTTGGATGTGCCCCGTACGAGGCTGAGAAAGGGGTCGGGGCGACCGGAAAGTAGCTTTCCGAGGGCCATGCAAAGGGGTCCTCGGCGTCTGCCATGTATCCGTCAAGATAAGCTTCGTAGTCGTTTCCTCTCGGTGAATTAGATATTGGCGGTGAACCAATAGTGCTTTCGGGAGACCTGACCGAAAGCCAACGGACCTGATGCCTGCTAGTGTTACCGCTACGGCGGCCTCTGGTTGTGGATGGCTGATTCAGGGGGATCTCCGGCGTTTCAATATTTCTACGTCTAGCGTTGCTTGGTTGTGATGCACCGCCACGACCTGTCGGTGTTCTGTCAGCCGCAGTGCGAGCTTGCTTGTGCTTTTGCAGCAGATTTTGCTCTGCTTCAGACATAGTAGCCGCTGGTCCCAGCGAGGCCAGAGGCTTAGCATTTTTGGCCGGTTGTCTAGGCGCCTTTGTAGCTTTTGGCCTCCTTGCCGTACAGGATGAACTCATCACTGTTGTCGCTTCCAGATGGCTCCTCTATGGGTATAATAAGGCTGCCTCTCCTGGAGCGCATCGGTGATGGGGGGCTGCGAAAAGTTTCAAGACGATTGAGTTTGTCCTTTTAGCGCTGGCATATTCTTAACGCTTTCAATTTACAGAACATTTATTTGTAACGGCGTGCATAGTCAGATGTGAGATTTTCACACGCAACCATGCTTGCTGGGCGTTACCTACATAATTAAATGAGCCTTGGTTAAGTTACACTGAATAATAATAATATATAATAATAATAATAATAATAATAATAAATAATAATAGTAATAATAATAATGAGAATAATAATAATAATAATATAATAATAATAATAATACTTAATAATAATAATAATAATAATAATAATAATAATAATAAATAATAATAATATAATAATATTTGTACGTGGACGTTAGGCAGGTTTGGAGAAGACGAAGAGGAAGATCTTAGAAATAAAGAATTTCTTACACCCCAGCCTAGTACTGTGTATTATTACAAATTGGCGCACCCACGTATATTTTCTGTGCGGACATTCAAGATGTGGGTTGATTTCACCATTGGAGCAAATCAACGCAGTGGCATCCGCGTTGATTTGCATCCGCGGTGGATTTGCATCCGCGGTGATTTGCATCCGCGGTGGATCCCGCGTTGATGAAGCGTGGCAGTGCATCCGCACTGCAACGCTCAAGATGAACAGGAACTAGCTCTTCCGGAAGCAGTGAGCACTTACGCATTTGTTTCCTATATAAGCATTAAATTGAAGCTCACTCCAGACCATTTACTTGCTAAAAGAACGGTGAGTATCAACATGAAACTTCAGAACTATGAGAATTTCGTGCTGACTCCAGTAAGAAACGGCGCGAAGCCTGCTACCACTGCTTCGTCTAACAGTTCCGTCGAGCTGATCCACAAGTTTCTTGAACTGCACCAAGAACAGAATAGGCCAGCAAATTATTTAATGCGCTTGCTTGTAAACGAGACGGAGAGATTAAGCAGACCAAGTCGCGAACACGTGAAGCCAGTCATGTTGAAGGAGACTCTATAGTAGTCCCGAGTCCTGGCTCACGTTTTACGAGTGTGCATCCGATGAAAACTACTGGCAAAGCGACGAAGATCAAGTGAAAAACATGCGACTGTTCCTGTCGGGCATAGCCAAGAGTTGGTACGAATGGCGTGTCAACGCTTACAGCAACAAACCATGGAGAGAGTGGAAGGCAAGCTTTCTGAGCTCCTTCAGCGAGAACAAGGTGTTGCTATATGACAAAGCAATCACGTTCAAATACAGGTCTAGATCTGCACTCAGCTATTTTTATGAGAAAAGGCGCTTGTTACAGCTGGCGGACTCATCTTTGCCTGAGGACGTCTGTGGTTCCACTTATCATCTATGATTTAATCCGGACCTCCAGAAGAGAGTACGAATGCGAGGACCCAACACGGTCGAAGAACTTCTGCAGGGAATGCGAAACCTCTACCTCCAGGACCTAGGAACCCAGCGTCAACCCATGACACCTGCTTCAAGAAATACCGGGGCCACACGAGTTGAGAAACGACGCCCGCTTGCAAGCTAGATACCTGCTGCAACACCCGTATCCATTTTGACCAAACCGGGGAGGCTCAAACCATGGCGAAGAGCTAGACGACGTAACAAAAAAACTAAATAGAGAGGGTCTCAGCTTCCACCCGACGACATCAAGAGAAGCTGTTTATTTGCCTCATACAAGTCTATTGTACATATCTCTTTTGTGGATGGAAAGGAACAGAATGTGTTAGTTGACAGCTGGGCACACGTCATTCTTATTAACGCAAATATTGTTGAGAGGGCAAATTAAAATAGGGAAGACCAGTAGAAGTACACGGATACGATGGAAGACGAGATGTTCACGATAAATGGACTTGTATAACCATATCGTGTCTCGGCAACACTGTCACTGCGCAAGCACTGGTACTCGACAGAGTGCCGTATGAATTACTGCTTTCACGTGCAGTCATCAATGCACTTCGCCTTAATACGTACTGGACAGGAGAAATTACCACAGAACAAAAGCACCGCACTATCAACGCTGCAGTTTCGCCTTCAAGGACTCCGCGGAAGCCATCGTCAGGTGAAGATGTTAGGACCCTTACCCGGAATTGCTGTGCTTGAAAGGATATCCTACGGCAACTACAACGTTTGAGGTACCATTCCAGCTCAGTGATACGAAGATGGTGAGAAAAAAAAGCCCTATAATATGTCACGAGAGAAAAGAGTGTGGCTTGAGAACGAGATTCAAAAGATGTTGGATGCGCAGATCATCCGTCCATCCACGTTTACGTTCACTTCATTCATCACCATTGCGCCAAAGGAGAAGATGGAAGTCATCGACTCTACACGGACTGCAGCGAAGTTAATAAGCAGACTGAGCTTTTCCCACTTCCTATGCCACGTATAGACTCTAATATAGATGACATGGGTGGCTGCAGAGTTTTCTCGTGCATTGACCTATGTAAAGGATTTTGGCAAGTTCCGATTTCTGAAAAGTGCAAGAAATATTCTGCCTTATCAAGCCCTTTGCCATTTATGAGTATAACTGACTTCCATTCGGATGGAAGAGCTCACCCGCTCGGTTCCAGAAAATGAGGAACGACGTCTTGCAACCATTCTCGGGATGTTTTGTAACATCCACATAGACAATATTATAGTATACTCCCGCAACGAGGAAGAGCACTCAAACTATCTGGCTAGTATACTTCAAGCACTTTGTGACGCCGAGCTCAAAATTAATGACAAGAAGAGCGAGTGTTTTCTAGAGTAAAGTGGTGTTTCTTGGAAGAGTATTTCACGGCCAAACCAAGACAACAAAACAGGAATCACTCGAACGAATCGCAAAAATTGCAGAAGCCATATTACTTGCACTCATTGCGGGTATTTTTGGGTCTTGCAGGGCATTTCCGGCCATTCATTAGAGATTATGCGATGAAAACCAAATGCCTCTCAGAAATGACTAAGAAGAATGTGCCATGTCAGTGGACAGCAGAGTGTGAATCCATTTATCACAGCCTTGTGAATATTATTTCATCGGATCCTGTCCTGACTCTTCCAGACTTCAAGTTGCCCTTTGAACTGAACACCGATGCTTCCTATTATGGCTAAGGCGCAGTGCTTTACCAGAGAGATATGGACTCGCCACGGAGCTGCCAACAGAGGGTCGTCGGGTACTATTCGTACACCTTTTCGAAAATTCAACTTAACTACACGACTACAGAGAAGGAAGCTTTGGCAGTCTTAATGGCCGTACGCTATTTTAGACCTTACCTGGTTGGCAAGAGCTTCACGCTCTTTACGGATCATCAAGCCTTAACGTATATCCTTAACCTCGTCGAACCTCGAGGAAAAATTGCTGGGTGGATGAGTGAACTCCAGCAGTTTACTTTCGTGGTCTACCACAGGCCTGGAGAACACCTCAAGGTCGCAAATGTGCTTTCAAGACTTGCGGTAATTCCTGACCAGGAAAATGTCAGCGCAACATTGTTGTGGGAGGGAACTGAAGAACTTAAGTTCCATAACGGAAAGTTCACCGTCCCAGAAACAATGGTGCCTCAAATTTTGGAACTCAATCACTACTACCCGCACTCAGGTGGACATGACGGCTTTTGGAAGACATATCAAAAGATTCGTCAGCGTTTCCAGTGGAAACACATGAAGGAGGACATTTAATGGTATGCTCAGTCTTGTCATCAATGTCAAGTTCACAAAGCCAAGTACCTTCAGAAAACAGACGAGATGGTTTTGCCTCAACATTCCAACGTATCATTTGAAGCAATCCATCTGGATTTCGCAGAGCTCAAGAAGAATGCTGCAGGAGCAAGGAGAACGCAGTCTTTCCTAGTGGCAATAGACCAGCGCACAAGAATAGTGGCTGCACGGCCGGAATGGCGACGAAAATAGTAGGATTGCTTTTTTTGAGTCGAGAGATGTTCAAGAATACGAAAATAGTAATATCAGATACTGGACCAGCGTTTCTCTGTCAGCGTTTGCAAGATTAAGTGAAGGAACGATGAGTTGTATTGCGACGCTGCGCTCCGTACCATCCTGAAGGAAATGGCATGGCTGAAAGAATCATTCGGGATTTTAAGCAGTTCATTTCAAAGTATCCAAGTTTTCAGGGTGGATGGAAGTGCTGCTTGGAGGCAGCTGTTGCTCATCTTAATCAGTCGTACACTGCGAGCCCGGCTGTAGCCCATATTTTGCAGCTTTCGGAAAGGTACCAGTGCTTCCTGCTCATCAAGAACTTTGCATTGCAGACCGCCTGCAATTATTCGAAAAACGCAAAACTTCGGAAGCCTACCAGCGATACCGGGAAAGTACGAAGAGAAACTTTGACCGCCGCCACAACACGCGGATACCTCAGATACAAATGAACGATCTGGTGCTCGTCAGAAAAGGCCCTCCCGGTACATAGCAGGTGTACATGGGACCTTATCACGTGGTGCAGAACACAGTGCAATATGGTGTTCTCAAAAGGGTTGGTTGCACCAAGATGACGGTGTGCTGGAGTTTGCGACCATTAGAAACGTCTTCATGTATCACCCCAGGAGGGATGAGTCTTCAAAGAGGGGGAGTGTACGTGGACGTTAGGCAGGGTTGGAGGGAGACGAAGAGAAAGAAGGTGTTAGAATAAAGAAGATGGCTGACACCCCAGCCTAGTACTGTGTATTACTACAATAATAATAATAATAATAATAATAATAATAATATAATAATAGTAAGAGTAATAATAAATTACTCATATATTTTTATTTTTAGTAGTGCTAGTAGATTGTAGTAGTAGTAGTAGTAGTAGCAGCAGCAGCAGTTCCTGCATTTAACGTTTCCAAAGCCACGACATAATACACAGAACTAGGACGATATAATACACGATATAATACACAGAGCATAGTTGTCTCACAAAGTTTCAGATTATGCTACTTGGCGCGTTCATACAATGAGTGCAAGCTCACGCGGCACCTAGGGGTATTTGGGACTGTCCGTGCAGATATGAACGAAGGTGCCCAAGGGCCATATTAACCGATCGCTGCACACACCTAAAGCACATCGAGCACATACTCGTGGAAGTGTTTTGCTATCTCCAAAACAGCTGCCCATCTAGCATCCACAAAATATTAAGAGGCAAAATAGCTTAGGTTCTACAGCAGTGATGAGAGATTACACAAATAGCTTGAAGCAAAGCACCTGCGCACGTCCTTTACCATGCCAATTTTCGGCTCTTTTTTAGCCTTCAAAATAGAGTTTCAACTCCCACAGCGATTTAATTTGTATCATGCCTCACAATGGTGCTGCTGCGACAGAAGCGTGTCCCAAGTAACGCGTAACCACAGTAATCAATACAATGCGTCCGATGTTTTGCCACCGACATATTTCAGACTACAATAGCGTCCCATCTTCATGCCTATTATGTTCATAACCCACTGTTACGTATTGACATAACATGCTTAGATATACAGCACTCGTGAAGTGCACGCTGTACACGCGATCAATCTTCAAATAAAAGAAATAAAAACGGTGACGTCACTTACCTTTTGTTAAACCTAATCCGCTCGCAGCCAATCCGGCTGTTAAGAGCCAATCCGGCTGGTTCGGATCAAAGTGCTCGGATCACACTATGCCCCTACGACGCCAACTGTACAAGCTGTAAACTAAAGTACGCGCATAACCTAGCACAAGTTTTCGTGTTTAAATGCGTGAATACTACAAACTTGCACACTTTGCAGAGCATGTTCTAGGTCTCTTTACAAGCACAGCACATTGACACCTGAGCACGTTTGATCATTATGGCATCAAAACATGGTATTGCGGCACCGCGTCATAATTGGTCCTTGCGCTTCAACACGTGAAACTCTCCACAATCACACAAAATGGACTGGCAGCATTTTTTAAACATATTCTTATTTTCGTTAATTTCTTTAAAGGGACTATAAATTCCAATAAAAATTCACGTCCAGAGTGAAGCTCAATGTATGGCAACACCTAAAACGACAATATTATCAACAACAGCGTCCTACTTACCAAGAAATTAAGGTAAATGCACAAGAACACAAACGCTGCAGAAGGAAATATTCAAAATGATCCCGATGACATCAGACAGACGGCCTACAATCAATCACTGGTAATTGATCTAACTGCACTACATAAAGAACTTCCCGTGCGTCAAGAGACGCAATAAAATGCTGCTTGTTCGTTTCTGCTTGATTCGTGGAAAAAAAGAAGCGCCGGAAGTTAGTATGAGGAATTGCGTGAGTGGTTCGAAAATTCAAGTTTCGCGTGGTTACACGGGACAGGTGGTGCCATCTAGCGGAGCGCAGTGTAACAAAAGCGTCAGCAATCTCAGAGCCAATGGAGAGAAATCGATCAATGGCCGTTTTTGCTGCTGTCGTTCCCGATGCTTTCGGTCTGCCGCTACTAGCGCAGTAAAGCCGGACAACGTTGTGCACGGCAACAATGACGTGAGACGGACCGGCCGGTCCGCTTCTTGAGGCGGCCCCGCCATGGTGGTCTAGTGGCTAAGGTACTCGGCTGCTGACCCGCAGGTCGCGGGATCAAATCCCGGCTGTGGCGGCTGCATTTCCGATGGAGGCAGAAATGTGTAGGCCCATGTACTCAGATTTGGGAGCACATTAAAGAACCCCAGGTGGTCGAAATTTCCGGAGCCCTCCACTACGACGTCTCTCATAATCAAATGGTGGTTTTGGGACATTAAACCCCACAAATCAATCAATCAATCGCTTCTTGAGGCGGGTAACTTGAAGTGCTGTAACTCGTTGTGGACCACTAATACCTGTGTCACATGGGCGCGCAAAACGTCTTTTAAGTAAGCGGTCATTTACGAAGCTGAAAGACTTTTAACAAAGAGGTGTTGCGGCGCAGACACACGGCAGCAACGATGTCCTTTTAGTGTTTTCGTTCGAAGACGCTAGCGAAAGCGTGGCGCTAGCAGTTAAAAAAGAAGCAATGAAAATTAAACGTTGTATCACGATGTACAAATTAAAGACTTGTTGCACTGCTCGTTTCTTTCAAATAAATTTAAGAATAAGAGAGGAAGAAACACCAATGTGAAGTTTGTGGCACTAGTTAAGAAAGCATTCCCATAATTAGCGACGTGCACAAGGTTCGTCTGGCACCACTGGGCTGTTTATTTACCGTATTTGTTTTTCGCTGCTCTCGACTGCTCTCGACACGTTATGGGCGACCATACGGAAGAAAAAGCGAGGATCGGCAAGCCTCACAGCCTGCCTTCTCGCTCTGGAAAGCGAGGCAGACGCTGCAAAAGCCGCCAAGGAGACCATCAAGCAGCAACTGCTGTTCAGCAATTCCTTGCTGTGCGCACTGGAGCTGTCGGAGAAGGCTTGCGATCGATCGATCAGGGCCTTCAGACAAAACGAGAGGTGGTTCGAGGGAACTGTACCTAACCTCGATGAGCAGAACTTGAAGCAATTTTTTCGAGTGTACCCGTCCACCTTTCGTGTCATTGCGGAGAGCTTGTGCGGTGAGCTCGAAAGACAGTGCACCAGCATGCGTGAAACCATCACTCCTGAGGTTGTCCTCCCAGAGTCTGATTAGGCTCCACGTGTCTGCTTCCGACCATTGCAGAAGCTGCCTTTTCCGTGGGCCGCCGGATGCTTGATCTGCGGAGTTGGCCATAGACGCTCGGACTCGGACCACTTGAATGACGGGCAAACACACGACTGCCATGCTTTCCTCGCTTGTACAAAATGGCGCGGCGCGAGACCGAGCGTCACCACGTGATATTGCCGACGCGTTGTAGTTGCTTACGAGAGTATAAAAGGAATAAACCATTAAAAGAGTTTATTACACCTTCTGCAGGATATGAATTTGTTTTACAAAGAGTTTTGGTGAGAGAAAAATAAGCATTCGCTTTTTTTCCCACCACTGAAAATTGCTGGCGCCAACTGGTTCGAGGCTACTCATTCGGATCCGCGAAAGAGATCGACGAACTCCGTTTACGAAAAAGACCGCTTCTGAAAAGGAGTTCGCTCTGTGCCGTGCGTCTGCTGTCAGGAACTCCTTTTCGGAAAAAGATCGATTAGTTAAAAGACTTTAAGGTGCCCATGTGACAGGGATATAAAACGTGATTTTATTTCAAAATAGGCTTTTCCTTGGCACAAAAGTAACACTACGGGGTTTCTGGACCGGCCATTTCAACAATCAATGTCGACTTAATAGTTGACTTTAGTGTCCCTTTAATGCTTCTCGCACATATCCATCAGCGCTCACGCCTAGCTCCGTAGACAGCGGAAGGTTTCGTAAAACCTACCTTGGAGCTTTCTCCTTGGTCGTCTGCCCTTGAGCGGTATCGACGTGGTGGAGCTTGGCCGGAAAATACCCGGCGCGTCGCTAGAGAAACTCATTGCCACGCTTTGTACGTGGCCACGGTTTCCTTGTTCGTCACCAGGAGACGCACCTCCTTAGTTGACGACTTAATGCGGTCCACCACGTCCCGTTGGCTGAGCCGATCACGCTCTCCCCCGTTCACCTGGATGAGCCCCAGTGGAGAGAGCTAATTTGCACAAACTTTTGATACCGGCGGTGGCAGTGGTGAGGGGGCGCACCCACTAAAGTACTATAGCGAACGACGCCAACAAGATGTGACTATGTGCTGCTCAAGTTGCCGCGCTGCTCGAGAGGCTAGAGGGTCAGCCTCCGATGTGGGAGGCACTCGGCTTGATTCCAATAGCCCCAGCATAGGCAGAAGTTTTTTGCCGCGGGGGGAGGGGGAAGGAGGGTCACCTTTTTGTAATGGTAAATTATATTGCTCTGTATGCCATGACTAAAGAAAGTTTCAGGGAAGGGGGAGGGGAAAATGGGCTCGATGTGCCACTGCATGGCCACCAGGCATCCGTTGTTGTTGTTGTTGTTGTCGTTGTTGTTGTTGTTGTTGTTTTGTTGTTGTTGTTGTGTTGTTGTTGTTGTTGTTGTTGTTGTTGTTGTTGTTGTTGTTGTTGTTGTTGTTGTGTTGTTGTTGTTGTTGTTGTTGTTGTTGTTGAAAAAGTTGCCTCCGGCATGGGTCTCGTACTCAAGTCTTCGGGAAGCTAGCTTCTAACTTACGCTCCTCTCTTCCACTCTCCCTCAACCCTGCGACATCTACTGTGGGTCGCACAGACATGCGTCGTTCTATTATGTGAGTGCTGTCGTCTCACTGACTGTATCAAGCACTCCAGCAAAAGACCGAAGGCTGACTAGCGCGAAGTAGGTGAAAGTCCTCTCTGTGGTTTTTTTTTTTTTTGAAGGACCCGTGTGAACTTACACAAATCGCACGCTCACACCGCTCGTGTGGTGATAGAAGTGGTAGGCAAGGTGCACACTATACGGTAATGTCACTACTTATCTCATGCACTGCTCTGATACACTCGTATAGTCAAATGGGGTCAACTGATGAGCCAATGGTTGTAAGTGGGCCAGGACTCTCACTCGCTGCCCTCCCAACCCTACTGTAACTCTTAGCCGTGTACATAGTAATCCACTTACGCCCTTTGAGAAACTGCTAATTATCTGTGTGCATTGTAGCATGTAACATTAAGGCTCCACTAATATGTACCCACAAAACCTCAATTTTCAATTTCACCCGATAGGAAACGGTGTGTTCATCTCAACATTTCTATTTAAACTTATCGTCATTCATTTAACTTGCATTAGTTATGTGGGTGGTTGATTACACCCTATCATGCAATAAATTGCGCTCCTCTATCATATCTGTCATATGCCACGTTTATCAACACCTCCTCGTGTTTTCTTAGCTTCATCTTGGTACTTGTTTTTCAATTTACGTAGAACTCCCGTTGGTGGTATATTATAACTGCTCCGCAAGGAACCTCACGTCCCTAGGCGTTTACGCCGTAATATTTGCTCGGCCCATGTTTATTGCGGTTCCGAGTCAAAAGGAATTGAATAGCTGCTCCTTCCAATTATCATTGAATGAAACTTGAAGGGAACCCAATAGTATAGCAGGATACAGGATCGGCGGCGTGTCAGTGCCTAGAAGCCTAAGTCCAGGATTACGGTCACCTCCAATTATTTTGTCAATCTTCTCTGATAAACCTCTGGGATTATATAATTACGTCACATCGCCGATCTCTTATTTTCTACCGTTCAGGATGTGTTTACCTGTAATATGCAGTCTTTGGCGTGGAGTCCTCCAGCCTCGGCGGGTCCTCCCTTTTCCACAGTGGTCACGGTGGCCAGCTTACTCTTCTCGTCGACAAGTATGCCGAAACCGTAGCCGTCAAAATCTGGTCGGCGTACCAGCTTACACAGACGCACGGGCGCGGCCGCAGTGACCGAGGATGACGAAGCAGTTTTCTTCACTGTCGAAGATGGGCCCTTTTTCGCTGGGTTCGGCCTTTACCACCGTCGTCTTTTCTAAGTGTAGAGATACTGTTTTAAAAAGGGTGTCCTTTCGTATAAAGCAATCCTTTGCTTGGGAAAGTTGCAAAGTAGTAAAGAAAGGCTTTGAATACTGTTTTTGCTGAAGCTATAAAAAGCGGGTCGACGAAGTTTTTTTGTTATAACATGCACGCAATGCCGGGCAATGAAGCAATGTGCAAGACGTAAAGTTTAATATATATCGAGGGTGCTCCAGCCAACTATTCGGACGGGGACAGACAGACACTCCACTGATGTGTCTTTGTGTTCACGTCGAAGTAGCTGGTTGGAGCCCTCTTCCTATGTGCCCACAGTGAGCTTAACCAAGCACAATTCTCAGTGAAGTTTGCTTCACGGCGCGTATTGACGAGTTATACTAATTGATACAATAGAAAAGAGTGCCTCTTCCTGGAATTGTGAAGAAATAAATGTACCTGAAATTATATACACGGAGCATGGTGCTAACCAAACAGAGGGGTATTGCTTTCGGGACCGTAGAGCGTCGGCCTTATCTTAGCCTCGTCAGGCTTGCGTAGTTTATGGATCTGCACTGCTCAACCTACGTAGAAACTAGAAGCCTCTTCTATTGACGTGACAGAAGCCTCTTCCATTGACGTGATAGTACTGCTAATGTGTAGACGGCAAGCCTTGCTCTCGAAAATTCAAACGCAAATTCATGGCCTAATTTACCTTGTTGGAGCGCGATGATGAGGCGGACATCGCTTGCGTGCTCCTGACTTGCTTCTTGTTCCATGGCGCTGACCCACTACAGGGCAGTCGTGATTAATGCCGGTGTCCAGACAGGAATGCAACACTTGAATGTTAGTGTAAGCTTAGGTCATGCGCAAGTTTATAAAAAACAGCAGTGCTTTTGAAAGAAAGAAATGTAGTAATTTTATGTAGACATGTGATTTAGCAGTATTCTAGTTAATTTACGTACATGCTCTTTAATTTTGTACGTATACAAATACAATGAAATTCATTGAGGACCTACCCAAATAAAAAACTTCTGATTTCCAGATATTCATAACGTTTTCCTCTTGGTGTGTCTGTGTTGTGCACACTTGTCGATCGTCTCTTTGTTCAGGTGCTCCTGTAGTAGACGAGGCTAGAGAATTGGTTCTCGTTGAAGTGATCCCTGAGTGTAATGTATACAAGAATTACATAGCTGAGCTGAAAAATTGGGAGGCCGTTAGGCATCACTTTTAAGAGTTGAACACCAAAGCGATATGCGGCCCCTAGTGCGTACTTGAAACGCTTGGTGCATCCATTTTTTTCGAACTTGCTATGTACCCAGTGCCTGAAAGAGCAATGGCGCGGCAACGCGGGTCTTTGGCGGGTGACTGGCTTTAAAGCACGAAGTCATCATAGTAATACACATTCCGACCTTCGATGGCGATGCACGCTTGTACCACGCTTCATTACAGCCATAATAAATGCTGTATTGTGAAGCACGTAAACAGCGTTTGTAAAACATGGGTTACTTTCGCTGAATTGCCAAGAACAAGAAGTTGTTTTCAAAGGCCATAGGACCAGATGTATAGAAACTGATCAACTATGATAGCTACACTGCTATCTGGACGTCGGCATCGTGGCAGTCGTTTCTAAATAGGGATGTGAAATAGGGCTTTCGTATCTTTTAAACCCTTCTTCAGCAGAAGTAGTACATTTAACTGAGCAGTTATTTAATGTCGAGATTAATCCCTGCATAGTGTAGCACAGCTGCTACTAGGTGTCTGACATAGAAACTGGGCTAGCTCTACTATTCACCTCTACCCCACTAAGAAGAAGGTGCGAATAACAACCCTGAAGGGTTGGTCCCTAGCGGCTCTTCATTGGAACGTGCTAAAAATTGGACGCACCGGGCTATTCACATCCAGCCCACTAAAGCACCGTAAGCTCTATAGAACTGGCCCAGCGGGTATCTACTACTGACACTTGGCAAACCTCACTACTTTCCACCGAATGTTATGAGAAAAAAGTACGCAGTTTGCGCTAGGCAGCTCAAGACCAAACCACAGCGAAGACGGTCGACCTCGTGATTTCCTGTAGTATACTGCGGTTGTACTTGGCTGCTCCAATAATACACTGATGTGGTCCTTGACTACTCCATGGTCGAACTTCACTGTTCGGGGTTCTGTGTAATCAGAATCGGCAAGTCCTCGCCGGTTCCTCTACCGGCAACAACAAGTTTTTGTTCCTCAGCAAGTCGTAGTTCCTCAGTTATGTAGATCCCTGCGGACGACCCGACCACCGGATTTGTTGCGTGACAATGGTAACTTTAATGAAGTGACTTAAATTGTTCTCTTTGGAATCTATGCCGCTTGGGAGATGTAGCGAGCAAGACTTGAATGCCATGCTTGCGCATGCGCCATCAGCACGCGCAACGCTGCAAAGACACAGGAGCCTGCAGTTTTAGCACACACTATTTCTTAGATCATACCATTCACGAAACTAGAGTTTCAAAGCGTTTGGTATGCCTACATATTTTTCATCTTTTTAAAGAAGTCCCGTTATATAACCTTAGACCTTTTTTTTTGCTGGTTTGTGCTATTTCTAATGGTTTTAGGTTATGTGCGTGTGGCTTGGCCTACACCTATGAATTTCCCACTGACAACTCGTTGTAGTTTTATGACCGAAGCTTCTCTTACTCTTATATTGTCCAGCGTCCGGCGTGACCGAAAGTATCTCCAGAACTCTATAATACATGGTGCTGTCTTATTGACGCACATACAAACTGCAGTTTCGTGAGGATATCCTAGATGGCACTTTACCGCTACTCTCCGATTGGCTCCTGCGCGGGCTGTGCCTGCGCAGGAGCCAATCGGCAAAGAATGTAAGGATGCTGGCAAAGAAAGAGCCCGTTACCAACATGTAATCGTATGAGCATATGAGTTTATTTCTTATTTGCCAACTCGCTACACGTCTGGTTTATTGCTCCCGCGAGGCGTTCTGCAAGACGAGTTGTGAAAACCAGTGGTGGCGATGGAAAGAGATGATGATGATGAGGGCCTCAGATGAATGGCGTTCATCCACAAAGGGGGATAGGCCAAGAACTGTGTGGCGGGATACTAATTGAAACTAACACCAATCTGTAAATTTAGTTTAGAGATAAAACTGCGAATAAACAAAAATGGTTACTGAGCAAGTGGTCAAACCATCTTTTGTTATTGATCGACATAACTACAAATTATAAAATAACGATCTGAAAAGGTTAGAATCGACTAATGCGGTAATTTTATTGTGGCCTTGATGTAGTCAAACACAGTAGAAAATACATTTGTGAGGCAGTAACCAAATGAAGTGCCGCCAAGTGATAGAAGTATTGGTAAACTTACTTCTATTCCTAACTTCTGCAATGGAGTTTCTAAGCGAATGATTCTCTGATAAGAAAAACGACGACAGAATAAAAAAAAGTTCATTGTTTTATTTTGTTGCAAAAAATGCGCAACCGTGATGCCTTGACTCCAGAATAATTTAGTTGTGGCGAGAGATAACCGGCGGATTCGTAGCTGCTGCAACTCCGTGTTCTTCTCCTCCTCCCACGACTTGTACTCATTGCAAGGGATTTGCTAAGTAGCAAGTGAATTGGTTCAGCATTTTTTTTCGTATACATACATACAGATGGGTCCGGCTGCGGTGGGCTGCCCCGGCTGCAGAACAGTGCAGCACAGCTCACTCACCTAATACCAAGGCTGGCTAACCGCCGCAGTGGCTTAACAGAGTGCGACACCTTAAAAAACGCCAGGCCTGCGCGGAAGGCGCAGCATAGTCACAGCGAAAGCTATAAGAGCAGCTTTTCAGAGCCTCTTCTAAACACTCATTGGGTAACTGCTGCAAGCACACTTGCTTGATACCCACTACCACATTAATAAACATTTTGGGGTAGTACGCCGGCATCCGCTATGCTATTTTTGTCATTGTTCTGAAAAGCACGGTGTCTGCTAAACACTTGCAAGAAATTTTGCGCCAATTGTTGATGCAGTGGCTGACAAAGATGAGTAATAATGACTGAAGTGAGCATGTGCCACAAGTAATGGATGAACAAGAACGAGCTTTTGTAATGGGTTGGAGCATTGGACGACCCACTCGTTACGCTATTCGCATTGTGCGACCAGTGGTTGTTCTTCCCTGTTTTCAAACGCTTCATAAGCCGTATTAACGCGATTGTTTTGCCGACACCAAGCCTGCTTAAGGCAAGTTTGCCAACAAGTCGCAAGCATCGGCGTAGCTTAGTGGTAGGATACTGGGCTGGCACCCAGCAGACCCTGTTTCGAGTCCCACTGTGTCATTGGTGCTAGGCTTTATTTTTCTAATTTCGCGCGATGTGGTTGCGGACACCGGCGGTGGCAGCAGCGTACTACTACGGCGTTGTGCGTGACCTGAGTTGTGGTCTTATAACAGCTTTCGCTCTAATGTACCAGTGACGTGCTGAGTATTATTTAGCAGTTTCGAGTTGATTCTATCGGTTTATTGCACGCTCAGATGGGATAGCCCTCACTTTCGCTAGTATTCGTTTTTCTTGTGGATACGTGCAACAGTATTATTATTGTAATTGTTTGTCTTGTGGTGTACGGTTAGCTTGTCGTAGCGTAGTCAAAACTTATTTTGTTGCATGAAATTTTCCGAACGCGGTAAACTCTTTGCGTGTTAGTAAAGATAAAATCTTAAAATTCCCATTGATGATGATGGAATTTGGGCCACCACCACCACCACCACCACCACCATCATCATCATCATCATCATCATCACCACCACCACCATCGTCGTCGTCGTCCTCTGTGTTGTCGACAACTGAAGTGCGTTGCTCAAACACAAAGACGTAACAACTGTGACAGCTGTGAGTTCAGGCTTGTGCTTTGTGTATACCTGCGAGTTCTTTTCGAGCGTCCTTCTTAGAGCTTCAGCGGCATGCACGCTGCAAGTATCTAGCTGCTTGTCGTTCTTCGTGTGACAATCAATTATTGCTATCGCATTTGTTGCTCGCCCTTACGACGAAGCTGTGATCTTTTTCCTATAGTTCAACTTGTTGCTTTTGCGCAATAGAGTTACAAAAGAAACCCAGTGTTTTTTGGTTGGTTCTCTTTATTGAACACGTAGTTTTGCCTTCTTACTTTACGTCCAATGAGTTCTCAAATGACGTACTGAATTTTAACTTGAAATTAACGTTTCACTTTGCCAACCATTTCCCTCGTCGTGGGTATGAACCACGTCTCTGTCACATACCAACAAGTCGTTGCCGAAGTAGAAGAAGCGTCGCGAGCGGGGAGCCGTCATCACCTTAATCGAAAGCCGATCATTGGCCCCTCCCACAGTCCTCTTCTCTCAGTCCTCATTCGCGGTCTTGGCTGACCTCTCTAACATGTCCCGCTCGCCTCAAAGCGTTAAGCCATCGGAAGGCGGGGCCAGTTCGTGGGCCACCGCTCACTTGCCGGGCAGCTCGGCACTACGCAGTCCCGGAAACAAGAGTCCACGGCGCACGGCCTCTCCGCGCGAGGCGACCACGCCGAACCAAACGCCGACGCGAACGCCTGCAATGTCCGGCAGTCGGAGCCCATTAGGCAGTCACGTGGCCGGCACCACAACTCCAGCCCCGGCCTATGACTTAGCGGAGTCCACTGGTGCTCTGATGGCAGCTTTCGGGTAAGATTACGTTAGAACAAAGCGACAGCGGATATAGCGACAGCAAACAGGACGGAACGAGCAGAGAGAAAGATGTACAAGTTAACCCCACAGTTGTGAAAGTGCAATCGG